GTGGCAGCGGAGAAGTAAATCAGGCATGGAGGCCTTCCGAGCCTGGGGCCCTGTGTCACCGCACAGGTCACGCCCTATTGTATACTGTATCTGGCTTCCCTTCCGGCTGCCATTACACATATTTTTCTGGAGGAGAAGTGCCGAAAGGGAGAGGCACTAGGCAGACCAAAGATTCTGACTTCTCCTTCCCCAAATTCACTCAAAATAGCTGAATTTTAACAGTCCCAGTGATCAAGTAGGCAGGTGCTTGACAGTATTATGACTCCTTCCCCACAACACACCTTCCCACAGAAGAAAAGTGAGGCTGCAGGAGGCTGTAAGACCCACAGCCAGCTGGAGAAGAGGCAGGATTCGAACCCAGGACTCCAGATCTCCCCCACTCTGTGTATGGCCTCCAACTTTGAACCCTGTAAGAAACGGAGAGGTTAGGATCTTCTGGAAGGGATGCGGACGGCTTCCCGCGAGGGCAGTGTTTATCTACCATTAGACAGCATTTGTGAAGAATGCCTGAGCTCCGTCTGCTTTGGCAGTTGAATCGTGACCAGGCAAGAACAGGGACTGAACCTGGGGCCTTCCAGACAGTGTTTTCTCATCTCAGCTAAGAGTTATGGGGAAAGAGGTGTGAACACCAGCCAGGTCAGGATGGGAGGCCGGGGTGATAGACGGCCGGTGCTGTGCATAGAAGAGGGCGTGTGCCAGCATGTGCTGAGCTGGGGAGTTGGTGGCAGACGCCTGCGCTGACCAATAAAGAGATCACTCGGGTCACTGGGTGAGTGATTGAGTCAAGAACCATCTGACATGAGAGCTGGTTGCATTTGTGTTCAGGTTGCCTCTGATTGCATTAGCTATGCGGGCAACCACATGATTCTGTTGACTCCTGTTGAGCTTGCAGTCAACCCAAATGGCTAGACTCCTCCCAGCACATTGTTCTTAAGAGTTGTCTTCTTCCTGAGTTTTGGCAGTTGAGTTTTTCACCTAGGAATAAACCTTTACATTTATCCCTATCAAATTTCCACTTAGGGTTTTGGTCAATCAGTAGGAACCAGGCAATATTTTAAATCTGATTCTGTTTTGTACATCTTGACTCTCCCCCTCCAAGCTTTAAATAATTTGTAAATCTGACCCAAGTTATTTAGAAAAAGGTTAAAAGTGCAAGTTGGTTGGTTGAAAGTATTCGACCAACCAAATCATCTAAATCGTCTTGTCTGAGGAATGCCTGGGCCACACAGCTCTCCAGTATTTGCATATGGCACCTTCCTGGTCCACCTCTCAGGAAAGTCTTCTCAAAAAAGGAAAAGAGTGGTTGCTTCGACCTGACTTGATTTTAGTAAACGCATGCTCGTTCCAAAGGTCCCAGTTTCCATTTTGTTTTTAAGTGCCTCTGTTTAATATTCTACATTTTAGAATCCTGCCCAAGGGTGAGTTGGTAAATCTCTGATGTCCTTTTTGGAATCCATGCCTTTAGGAAACTAGAATCACACTTACGCATGCATCCTGGCTTCCTAGTATCTATTCCCAGTCTTCACGGAACTTCAGAGATTGATAAGGTTTTAGGGATCAGACTTCCAAAATTGCTCGGTTCCTGGGGTTTAATATATGGATATGATAACTGGAATTTCTTTAAAGAAGCTCTCAGCTTTCTCACCACCCTCTGTCTACGTCTTCATTCCCTGTGTAACTCAGGAACAAAGCAGGAGCTGAGGTGTTCTGCTTTCTTTTTTAAAATCTTTATTGTTGAAAGTATTACGTATGTCCCCCTTTTTCCCCCCATTGACCCCCTCCAGCCTGCCCCCGCCCCCTACCAGAGGTCATCACCCTATTGTCTGTGTCCATGGGTTATGCATATATGCATACACGTTCTTTGGTTGATCACCTCCCACCTACGCACCCTCCCCCACCTTCCCTCTGAGATTCCCCACTCTGTTCCATGCTTCCATGTCTCTGGATCCACTCCATTCATCAGTTTATTTTGATAATTAGATTCCACATATGAGTGAGATCATGTGATACTTGTCTTTCTCTGACTGACTTATTTCACTTAACATAATACTCTTCAGCTCCCTCTATGCTGTCTCAAAGGGTAAGAGATTCTTCTTTTTTACTGCTGCATAGTATTCCATGGTATAAATGTACCATTGCTTTTTTATTCACTTCTCTACTGATGGGCACTTGGGCTGTTTCCAGATTATAGCTATTGTAAATTGTGCTGCTATGAACATAGGGGTGCATACATTCTTTCTGATTGGTGTTTCGGGTTTCTTCACTGGGTCAAATGGCAGTTCCATAGTTAATTTTTTGAGGAAACTCCATATTGTTTTCCATAATGGCTGCACCAGTCTGCATTCCCACCAGCAGTGTACTAGGGTTCCCTTTTTCCCACATCCTTGCCAGCACTTGTCATTTGTTGACTTGTTGATGGTAGCCATCCTGGCAGGTGTGAGGTGATACCTCATTGTCATTTTAATTTGCATCTCTCTGATGATCAGTGACTTTGAGCATTTTTTCATATGTCTCTTGGCCATCTGTATGTCTGCTTTGGAGAAGTGTCTATTTAGGTCCCTTGCCCATTTCTTTTAAACCGAATTACATCTCATGTTTGTGCCTAAGCCAATCGGAACCCCACTCCCTGAGGCAGTGTTGGCCTCAGGAAAGTAGAGACTTGAACAGAACTTGGGTTCTGCCCAAAGGAGGAAGGGGAGCAAAGGGCAGCTGAAAAGGTCAGCTGCCACCCTCTCCAGGAGTGTTGCAATCGAAGCCAGTCGTAATGACTGTGTCTGCACTGGGGGACAGAAACAATCCACGGAGAGTATACAGTTACAGAATGTCACTAGCACCGTGCCCAGAGAGAACCTCGTGCTGGGAGAGAGAGAGCGAGCTCAGTGAGGTCATGGAACAGGAAAGGCTACTCAGAGGCAGTGAAAGGTGCGCCGTACAGGCAGAGGGAACAGGCCAGCTCTTTCGAGAGCATGGACGGAGATCAGGGCACCCGGAGCCCTGGGAGGGGCTGAAATAGCATGGAAGGAGCAGCACACCGGCTCCTCCTCGTACCATGGGAAGGATTGCATTCGAAGAGCAATGCAAAGGCACAGAAGGCTTTCAAACAAGGGAATGACGTGATCTGACGTGATCTTTAAGAGATCAGTTTGGTCATGTTGTGGAGAGTGAGTGGGTGGCAAGGCAAGGAGATGTTAGGAGTCTCTATGTCCATCTGATAGGTTGGCCACAGGAGAGATGGCGGGAAAGTGGACAGAACTGAGTATGAATGGCATCTGGGGGATACCAGGGTGGGCACAGCCTGTTCTAAGACACACATGCACACACAGAACTCCACTTAGGTGCCACATAGGAGTTCAGAAGGTGAGATTACAGGAGTGGCGGCTTGAGGGAGAGCCTGATTTCAGGGTGACTGCTGAAGGAAGGGCATATTTGGACAGGGCACCGAAAGCTGGGCAAGGGGGCTTTGAAGAGGCAGACGTGGGAAGGGCAGTCCAGGGAGAGAAACCATCAGGAGCTGAAGCAGAGAGGCAGGAAATGAAGGCCTGAGGGAGAGACGCAAGTAGTGGAGTTTGTAGGGGTTTGTGAAGGGGCATTCGGGGAAATAAAGGCTGGAAAAGTCATGGGTGTCAGTTTAAGGAGGGTTCTGTGGGGCAGGCTAGGATGATAAAATAAAAAGAGGGGGGAAAGTTTAAATAAAGTCTAGCTTAGCTACAAAAGAACTCACCAATTATCACCAATTAACTACACAATCACTTCATTTTCCTAGGAATAATCGATGTGCTAATCGGGTTTTGATTACTTCCTTACTGGATGGACAAGCAATATCTCTTCCTGTCATCACTGCCACCTGCAGGCATTGGTCAGTGATTTCTCACTTGTTTCTGGAATGCATTCCTTCATCTCTTACTGAGCATTGGAGCTGGGGAGTCTAGGATGAAGGGGCGGTTCAAAGGAGGGAAAATGACCTCCACTACCTGGCGTGTGGGGCTAGGGTTCAGGGAGGCGGTGGCGTTTCACTGGGCCTTCCTGGATGAATAGGAGTTTGCCAGGCAAAGAAGTGAGGTGGGAAGGCCTTCCGAACACAGGGAACAGATGCGTGTCTTCTCAGTTCTCACACCTTCAATCCCGTAAACCCTAGAGAATGTACATTTTTAAGTTGTATTTTCTGGCTCTCAGAGAAGTTTGGTGATCATTGGTGAGTTCTTTCTGTTGCTACAGAACAAGAGTAAACATTTGACCCTCCTAGACATACATTTTCTCTAATATTAACAAGAAGCCGGGATTTTAGTAAGGCAAATGGGTTATGCTCCCTACTCACAATTGTTCCTCTGGGAGGTTTTACTGATTTTTACTTTTTTAGGTCAGCAAAGAAAGGAATATTAAATCTGTTTTGTTTTTTGGAGACTAGTAAACGCATCAGTCATCAACGAGAGCCCTGGGCTCGCCTGTTTTTCACACGAGGATGGGAGAAGTCATAACTACCCTCATATAGGGCTCTTCACTTTGGCCCTTCTGAGCTTCCTACGCATTCCTAAAAGTTATCTCAAACCCATGTGGACACCCAAGACCAGTCTGCCACAGAAATGTGCTAATTGCTCATTTTAGCTCAAGATAAACACACAAGTATTTCAAGACGGCCTATGAGGTTATGAGAAAGTGAGCAAGGCATTCCTGCAAGAGTGGAAAGAACTGTCCTCCTAGCCAACACCCTCATTCAGCAAGGGTGTGGAAACCAGGACCCAGGGAGGTGCCCGGACTGGCCCAGGTTGCCCTGAGCCGGGCCAGAGCCCCGACCCGAAGACGCTGCGGCAGGAGGGGGCGGAAGACCGAGAGGACAAGCCGGGGGCAACAGGGCAGAAGCATTTTGGGGAACTGAACCATCAGGGCAGTGTCTGATGCACTTCCTCTCCCACACTCCGCCCCCACCCGCCCGTCTCTCTGGTCTTTCCTTTTCTCTCGTGGCAGGGCTGTGCGTCAGTTTCTGAAAAGTGGGGACATTTCCTGCCGCCTTTGCAACACTGCGAAGCTGTCTTAAGGGAGGCTGGGCCCCATTGGAGCGCCAGGCCGGAAAGTGAAGGCCTGGGGCCGCCCAGCTGGGAGAGAGCCCCCCACCCTGTCCCTGTCTCCTGCCGGCTCGCAGCCTCCTCTTCCCCCGACACACCATGTCCCTGGCCGAGGCCATCAGACTCTGGAATGAAGGGGTGCTGGCAGCCGACAAGAAGGACTGGAAGGGAGCCCTGGACTCCTTCTCCGCAGTCCAGGACCCCCACTCCAGGATCTGTTTCAACATCGGCTGCATGCACACAGTCCTGGGAAACTGGGCAGCAGCAGAGAAGGTGGGTGAGTGAGTGAGTGAGCCAGCGAGTGAAGGTGCTTCGCCCCCTTCCCCTGCCTCCTCCCAGCCTTTGCGATTAGCATTCTCACCCTGGCTGCCCTTGAGAAACCTCTCGGGAGCTTTGTAAGAACCAGAGCTGTGCAGGCCCCACCACAGAGGGGCGGCCAGGCTGGGAACCACCGTGGGTCCCACTCTCCTTTCTTCTCCATCTATTAACTCCACATCGCTCGCTCTGGAATCGATCTCTAACCCCTGTATGAAGACTCCCCTGGTGATGTTTTCTTCTGTGAACTCCTGCTGCCCACACTCAGCATCTCACGGCTTCACACCTGCTGAAAAACGCCTCTTGCTGGCTTTCCAAGACTTTTGCATGTGTGGTGAGCTTTACCCACGTGTGTGGTGAGCTATGCCCATGAGGTCGAGGCGAGGGCCTGAAGTAAAACAGGTGTCACCTATGTGACCTCTCACCTACAGGACTATGAGGTGGGCACTCTTGTAAAGATTCTGAGGCTGGTGGAAGGGAATGATGCAGTGATCGATTACCGGTGTCTGCCCGGGGCACCCCTGTCGGGTGTTTTAGCATCTTTTTCAAATGCGTTTCCTCTCTCATGTTCCTGGGTAGGGGGTTGGACATTCAAGCATCACCTTTTGGATTGGTGATGGGAAGCTGGAAGGGTACGGAGTTGGGAAGCAGAAGACCGAGAATCAGACCTCAGCTCTGCCTCTTTCTGGACCTGGGTCCTCAGCAAGTCCGTTTCTTGAACATCTTGAGGTTAAGTGAGGCACCACATGTCGAAATGCCACGATACTTTGCAGCAGGTTGTGAATATTAGTTCTTGTTTTTACCTTTGGCCAGACTTTGTAAGGCCTAGAGGACAGATAACTGGCTCCCCAGGCTCCTTCAAGAGCCTGTTCCTCCCATAGCCATCCTCACTGGGGCCAGGAGTGAGCAAAGAAGAGGGAGCAGAGAAGCTTCTTGGAAGACCTTGTAGACTGATAAGTCCATCTCAG